GGGCGCAGGTCGGAGTGCGTGCGCATGTGCTGCTGCAGGCCGTAGTCCGTGGCGAACTCGAGCGGGCAGTGCTCGCACTGGAACAGCACCCTGGCGGGGTGGCTGCGCACGTGCTGCTCCAGCAGGGCCTTGGTGGGGAACGACTCGGCGCAGTCGTCGCACCAGTACGTCTTCACCTTCTTGATGTGGTGCGTGCGCACGTGCTCCTGCAGCTGCAGGCTGTTCATGAAGGGCGCCCCGCAGTCCGAGCAGTTGAAGGCGCCGGTGCGCTTGTGGGAGCGCATGTGCTTGGCGAGCTGCGGCTCCGTCTTGAAGCGCACGAAGCACTCTTCGCAGCCGAAAGGCTTCTGGTCGTCGTGGACTTTCATGTGCTGCGTGAGCTGCAGCTTCTGGGGGAAGCGCTTGCCGCAGTCGTCGCAGCGGTACGCGCCCTCCGTGTGCGTCTTCTCGTGCAGCTCGAGCAGCGAGCGCTTCAGGAACGTGGCGGGGCACGACTCGCACTGGAGCTTCTGGTCGTGGGTGTCGATGTGCTGCAGCAGATGGTAGTTGGTGGCGAACACCTTGGGGCAGAAGTCACAGCGCAGGTGCTCGTCGTCCACGTTGTGCGTCTTCATGTGCGTGTCAAGGTCCAACTCCGACGTGAAGGTCAAGTCGCACTTGGTGCAGCTGATCTCGTCGGGGTGCTCGGCGACGATGTGCCTCACGAGGTCCAGCTTGGTGTCGTACTGGGCAGCGCACTCCTTGCAGGGGAAGCGCTTGTCCGAGTGGATCTTGGAGTGCTCCAGCATCTCGGCCAGCGTCACGAACTTCTTGTCGCACTTCTCGCAGTCCCACTGGTCCTCCTTGGGGTCGCGCGGCGGCGGCGGCGGCGGGGCCGTGGGGTGCATGGCGCGCTTGTGCGCGCGCAGCTCCTCCTTGGTGGTGACCGTCATGGGGCATTCGGAGCAGCCGAACGTAGGCAGCGTCTTGTTGTGCGTGCGTACGTGGATCTTGAGGCCGTGCAGCGTGCCGAACACGGACGCGCAGTAGGGACACTTCCACGAGTGCGTCGGCATGTGCTCCTTGAGCAGGTCGGCCGAGGCGAAGGTCTCGTCGCACTTGCTGCAACGGTGCACCTCGCCGGAGTGCACCACCACATGCTGGCTGAGGCGCGTCTCCGACACGAAGCTGGCGTTGCAGTGCTGGCACGCGAACGCCTTGTTGGCGCCGTGCACCAGCTCGTGCTTCTTCAGGTGCTGGGGCCGCTTGAAGTGCGCCGGACACTGCTTGCAGAAGAACTTGCGCCCCGAGCGGCGGACCTGCAACAGCCAGGCAGACACTCAAGTCAGACACGGAGCGCACGAGGGGCAGAACAGGGCCGGGGCGGGGAGGGGGAGGGAGGCGCATCCTCTACACCAGCTGGACCAGCTGCCAAGAAGGGAAGACGGGATCCTGGGCACTTACTTTCTCCTCAGCGATTTCCGTTCCGAGGTTCCAACCGTGGGACAGCCAGCGCCAAATCTCATTTCGCTGTGTCAACCATTTAATTTATCATTAGCCCCATTGGCTGGCGCGAGTCCCATACCGAGGTCCCAGCACATACTCCAACAAAATGCGTATACACACCTGATCCTCGCCGTCGTTGGCGTCGTTGGCGTCCGTCCCTTCGTCCATGAGCATCACGTCGTCGACGGTGTCCTGACTCTCGTCGTTGGCGGGCTCGACTTCCATCTTGTCGGCGAACATCTCGTCGTGGGCTCGGTTCTCGTCCTCGTCGTCCATGATGGGCTCCTGCTTGATGCGCACATCGCTGGGCTCATCGGTGTGCACCTCGTCCTTGACGAAGCCCACCGACGTGATGATGGGGCCGGCGATGGAGTCCTTGGTGTCCTCGACGTCAGCGTCAATCTTGAAGGCCACCTCGCGGAGGACTTTAACGTCTGCAACCAAGCCAAGCCAAGCGTGAACGCAAGCCATTCCAGTGCACAAGGCGGGCAGCATGCAAGGCACCCCATGCCAAAAGCACACACAAAAAGCAAACAAACAAATAAGCAAAGAGACAAACAGACACCGAAAGGAGGAGGGAATAAGTGATCTGGTAGATCAAACCAAGAAATATTGACTTTATTGATCCAATAAGAGAGAAAAAACCATTGGGGATTCACGCTAGTTGATTGAAAACACACAAAAATATGACAAATCATAAAATGAGTTCGCATTTCGGCTGCGGCTACCGCGTTCCGCCGCAGTCAGGGCGCTCGCCGTGCACCTCACACACGGGTGGAGTCGATTTGCGGGACTTTTTGCGAGAAGCCTTGGGCGACCGCGACGCCTCAGGCGATGCCTTGGGCGATGGCAGAGGGGACGGCTGAGGGGACGGCTGAGGGGACGGCTGAGGGGACGGCTGAGGGGACGCGGCAGGGCTGTGCTGGAAGCGGACGTGGCGCCGCTTGGAGGGCGAGCTGGCGAAGCGCTTGTCGCACCGCGGACACGCGAAGGGCTTGTCGCCAGTGTGGGCACGCTCGTGGCGCCGCAGAGACAGCGCGCGCAGGAAGGCGTCGCCGCACTCCTCGCAGCGGTAGGGCAGCGCCGGGTGCAGGGAGGCCTGGTGCAGGGCCGCAGCGTGGGCGCGCATCAACTCCTTGGTGGGGAAGCCTTCCCCGCAGCGCACGCACCTGAGGACAACAGAAGCAGTCAGCACGCTGGCGCCGCGTCGAGCCACGCCTCGCTGCCTCGCTACGCACCTGTACGGCCACTCGCCCTCGTGGATGCGGCGGTGCACCTGCAGCTGGTCGTTGCGGTTGAAGGACGCGTTGCAGCAGTCACAGCGGTGCGGCCGGGCCGGCGATAGGTGGCACTGCAGGTGCCGCGTGCGGTGCTCGGCGCGCCAGAAGGTGGTGGGGCAGAGAGGGCACCGCGACATGCCGCCCTCGTCCCCCGAGGAGCACGCCTCCACGTCCACGTCCGCGTCCGGGGGCGGCGTGGCCAGCACGCGACGCACGCACCGCGGGCGCGGCAGCACGGTGGGCGGCAAAGTGCAGGCGCCGTCCACGTCAACTTCCACGTCGGCGTCGTCCTGCCCGCGGCTCGCAGCGCCCTCCAAGTCCGCCACTTCCATGTCCAAATCCTGGCCGTCATCGTCGTCCTGGCCGACCTCAGCACACGCCACTTCCATTCCCACATCCTGGCCGTCGTCGTCGTCGACCGCCTCTTCCTGGCCGACCTCAGCGCACGCCACTTCCATCCCCACATCCTGGCGGACCCCAGCGTCCGCCACTTCCATGTCCACAAACTGGCATCGGCCAGCGTCTCCTGGCGCCCCTTCCTGGTCGCAGGCGGCATCCCCCTCCAGGCAGCCGACGTTACCCTCAGTCACGATCGCGCTAGGCACAGACACTTCCGACCCTTCGTCCGAGTCGGAGGAGGCTTCGGGCATGACGAACACCACTTCGGCGCCACGCTCCGCAGTTTCTTCAGCATCGCCAACATCCACATCCGCATCCTCGTCGCTGTCGAAACCTGCACAGGGAGAACACAAGTTAGATGGGAGCCACCACTGGGAGCACGCACTGGGGGGTCGGGGACACAATAACAGAAAACGCATAGAACTGGTTCACTTCGCGTTTATTCACACGCAAGGCCACGCCCGCTCGACAGAAACAAGTGGAGGCTCATCGGCAGCCCTGGCCAAGGCCCTGGCCGTGCACCTTGCGCTGGTGCATGTACAGGTTCTTGCGGTAGCGGTACACGCCCGCGCACAGACTGCACGAGTAGGGCAGCTGGATGTCGTGCGTCAGCTTGAGGTGGCTGTCCAGGCCCGTCTTGAAGCGGAACAGCTGCGGGCACTCGGGGCACTGGAAGGCGTCGGGCGGCGGCCCGTTGGGCAGCCTGGCCTGGACGCAGCCCTGGTCGCCGGGGCGGCTCCGGCGGAACCGACCTCTGCCCCGCGTCCGCGCCACGGCCAACTCTGCCGAGAGAAAGAAGGCGCGTTAGAAAGCGGGACCGGCGAGCATTGGCCGCACACGCGGCGCCTTTCGCCCGCCAGGGTGGGCCGGTAGGACACACTCCCGCACGCCTGCCACCAAAGGCGCACGGCCCTTGCGCGGCTGGCAACCAAACGAATAGGCCTCACTTCAAACGAGGATTTATTGACTTTTAGCACTCATACAACAACGTTCTAAAGAGAGGCAAAGGAGATCGGCAACACACTGGTTCATCGGCGGCCAAGGTCTCGGCCCAGGCCGTGCACGTTGCGCTGGTGCCAGTACAGGTTCTTGCGGTAGCGGTACACGCCCGAGCACAGGTCGCACGCATAGGGCTGCGAGATCTTGTGCGTCAGCTTCAGGTGGGAGTCCAGGCCCGTCTTGAACCTGAACATCTGTGGACACTGGGAGCACTGGAACGTTTTTGGGGGCGGGCCGAAATCCAGGCTGAGGGGGTCGCGGCTTTGGGCGGCGCTGACCCGAGACGACACCGCGACCACCATCAAGTCTGCCGATAGAAATGAGTGGCGTTACAGTGGAAGGCCAGCGCGGGGGCCGCGCCCAGCGCCCGCCAAGTCCAGGGTAGGCCACACTCCCGCGCAGCGGCGGAGCGGGCTGCCTAACCCGCCCATCACAGGCGCCCTCACAGCAAGCAAAACAACAGCCACAGCTTCCAACGAGGATTTAATGACTAATCGAATCAACACACTCTCGAACAAAGACTAACACTACCGGACAAAGGCAAACACACACTCGAACAAAGAAAAGGCAAGAAGGGAAATGTGGAATGTTGAACGCGAACGCTCTCACAGCCATGGGCGCTGGTGCCTCGTCTGGTCGCAGTGGCGCCCCAGGCTGCGCAGGGACGTGAACAGGGCGTTGCACGTGGGGCACGAGAACTTTTGCAAGTGCGTCATCTCGTGCTCAGCCCACTGCCTGCGGTCCAAGAACGTGGTCTGGCAGAAGCCACACGTAAACGAGTCGCGTTCCTCATCTTCATCAAAGTCGTCTACGTCTTCGTCATCCTCCTCGCCCAGGTCGTCATCCTCGTCTTCGTCCTCGTCGTCGTTGGCTTCCGCGGGTTCCTGCTTCAGGACGACGTCGGGCTCCAGTTTCCAAGGCTGCAGGTACGAGTCTGGCGCCACCCTGATGCTGGCCGACGGACGCGCGCGGCCTGCAACAAAGAGCTGCTGTTAGCGGAGAAGTGGCCGGGGCGAAGGAGCGAAAGCACAGCCGGCCATCACTTGGCCGCGGAGAGGGAGGGCGAGGGGGAAGGGAAGTGATATCAAAGACGAGTCCGCTGTCAACAAAGCGTGTATTTCTAGTCCCGCTACAGCCTCGGCTACAGCAGCGCGTGCGCGTTGGCGTGGTGGCGCGTGCGCTGGGAGCTGTGGACGAAGCGCTCGCCGCACACGCGGCACGCGTACGCCTTCTGCCCCGAGTGCACGCGCATGTGGCCGACCAGGTGGCCGCTCTGGTTGAAGGCGGCGGGGCACAGGCTGCACTTGAAGGCACGCTCGTTGCTGTGCACGCGCTGGTGGCGAGCCAGCTGGTAGAACTTGAGGTAGCGCGCACCGCACTCGCTGCAGTCGAACTGGCGGCGGTCACCGGACTCCTTCGTGTCGCCGCGGCGCGAGGGCCGACCTGCAGGGCACAAAGGGCAGCGTCACCAAGGTCGGACACGGCGGGGCGGGGCAAGGCGGGACAAGGTGGGGCGGGGCGAGGAGACAAGTAAGACACGTGGTAGCAGAGACCAGTTTAATCACAATTAGCTTCCAACGACGCCGTGCCTGACGAGCATGTGCCGTTTGCACTTGCTCTTCTGCGTGAACGTCATGGGGCAGCAGCTGCAGGCGAAGGGCCGCTCGCCCGTGTGCACCAGCATGTGGCCCTTGAGGTTGGACGACTTGTTAAAGGCGGCGGGGCACAGGTGGCAGCAGTAGAGCCGGGCACCGGTGTGCTCGGTGGCCTCGTGCAGCCGCAGCTGGTGGCGCTTGGCGAAGCGCAGGCCGCACGTGGCGCACGCCATGCTGCGCCCGCTGCGCCGCGAGGCGGGGTGCCGCTCGGGGTGCCGCTCGGGGTGCCGCGTGGCCGCGTGCCTGCGCACGGCCAAGAGCGAACGGAACCGCTGGCCGCACTGCGCGCACTGCACCGCGCCGCGACGCCCGGCCTCGCCGTTCTCGTCCAGGTCCAGCACCACGTCGGGCAGCACGAGGGAATCTGCGGGGAAGACCAACACGTCAGTCAGGTGAGGCGCCAGCCCACAGCGGCGGACGGGTGGAGAAGAAGAGGAATAAAAAGTCGACGCTGTTTGAGATAACACAGTGCAGGAGAGCTAACTTTAATATAAAAATAGTAGCATGAACGAGAAACAACTACAGCCACCAGGAGATACAACAAAAATAAATAAATAACATTTGTAAATAGCTTAACACCAGAAACGCTGTTATAAAAAATATGACAAACTTGTTATATTAATCAACAAAACATGTTAACGACATAATAATGTAACAAATAAGATAAATCTAGGTAAATCTTTATAATAAAATTTGCACAAAAATAAACTGCCATCGCAACCAAACGAAAACACTGGCAAGGCAGGCCGAGGACGCCATAGAGTCCGATTTGTGCACAAATCGGGGTAAGTATATCGAGTGAGTGAGTCTAAGTGTTCCCAACAACCGATAAAAACAAAATACGTGTACAAAATGAAACAATGTTTCGACCTCTAGGTCGGTGCGCGACGACCACTTCCCGTGCGGGTCCACTACAACAGGGTGGGTGCAGGGGGGCGGGGCCAGGCGGGGCCAGGCGGGGCGGTCACGTCGACGTCACGCGCGTCCAGGGCGCGCGGCGCGGTGCGCGGTGCGGCCGCGCCGAAAGCCAAGCGGTTCGGCGGCGGCCGCGCGACGCGTGCTACCTGGACGGGCGGCCGTCGAGGCGGCCGTCGTGGCGCACGTCCACGCCGTGGCGGATGAGAACGTGGCGACGCCGCTTGCTGGACTCGGCGAAGGTCATGCCACAGAAGGCACAGCCGAAGGGCTTGTCCCCGGTGTGGATGCGCGTGTGCACGTGCAGGTGCGTGCTCTGGTTGAAGGCGGCGGGGCACACGCTGCACTTGTAGGGCCGCTCGTTGGTGTGGCTGCGACGGTGCCGCAGTAGGTGCCCCGCGTAGGCGAAGGCCGCGCCGCAAGTCCCGCACTGGTAGGGCTTCTCGCCCGTGTGCGTGCGCGCGTGCTCCTTGAGGGAGTGCTTGGACGACAGGAACTTGGCGCACACGGGGCACTGGAACAGCGGCCCGGTCGGCAGACCCGCCGGCAGCCCCGTCGACGGCACCAGCAGCACTGCGCACACCACACAACAGAGCGTTAGCCTCGGACAGCAACGGACAACACCGGCGGGGCGGAGGCCCCCGTGGCAGAGCGTTACCTGGCCCCTTAGGCGCGGTCCCTAAGGTCCTAATCACAGTGTACACCGTGGTCCTAACAAGCATGGCAGTGTATGTACAACATTTGCGAGGCAGCGCGCGGCAGTCCCAATCGCCCGCTTCACGACCTCTTGCTTTCAGGGCCAAAAGGCAAAATGCAAGGTGCAGAATTGTTCCACAATGCGTATAAACAAAGCTGCTGGCACGCGGAGTGCTTGCCTAGCGACCCTTCAGAAATAGCACCATCACCCATAATTACAGATTTAGAGCGAGTGACATATAACACAGATTATTCAACAAAATACCAATTTTATTTTGGTTACCTCTTTTGTTTTGTTTTTTTACAAAATTAAACACGTAACAAGGAACAGAGAGGGAGATCACATGAGTTAAACTCAACAATAGATTGCTTAGCTTATAAACAAAACTGACAATTCAAAGACATTCATTATCTGAAAAATAATAGAATCCTAATGAGACAAGGAGCCTCGTGAACTCAGAATCAGGTCTATTGATTCACAGTGACTCAGTTGAGTTTAAGCTGACCCAAAACAACACTTTTCATCTGGTCGGGCAGTATATGGTGCTCCTGGAAACACTTGGCACACATGAAAGGTGAACCTGGACACCACTTGCAAATGGTCAACACCCTAGGAGTTCTCCGACGAGCGTACTCCCGTCCATATTCCTTGCATATTGTCTTGTAACAACTTCGGCAAATCCTTCGCCTGTAACCACAATTAACTAAGTAATAAAAACTGTGTCATAATTTAATTTCATTCAAAGCAACATCATTAACGTACTTGCAGGTGCCAGTGGGACTAACATTCTCCAAATAGTGCTGCGGCTCAGCGAAGAGTTCACCTGGAAGAGGTACGAATTTCAGTTGATTCTCTTCATTTAAGAAACCAGCTCAGCAAAATAATGGGGATGGAGGCCATGGAAGACAAGAGGAATCAGCATTCCAAACATTTATTATCACAGAAGATAGCTTGTCCCTTGTGGAAACGAGCCACACTCCATTTTACTTCCAAAATTTGTAACACATGAACTATCACTTGAAGCGAAGTACTAGAGCCAGTGAAAACAACATCTTATTATTTTAAACATACCTGCAAAGACTAGGAAGGGAAAAATTGACTGTCTCAGTACTACAAGGTTACATATTTAACAAGACAGGTACAGCAAATCCACACGCATAGCAACAACGAAAATGTGGCACATGCAAGGCGATTGCCTATCATCGGTTGTCGGTTGACACTGACAAACGGAAATATCACTAAACACAGCCGGTAAGTTAATTATGTAGCTTAGGAACGATCCTCGGTGCACAGCCCTTGTACATCACTGTCTCCGAGCGTCCCGGTGCTTGCGGTTTATGTGCATCACCAAGTTATCCTTCCTGAACGTCCTCTGGGGACAGTAGGGGCACTGGTAGGGCCGCTCCTGGGTGTGCGACCGCTTGTGTCGGATCAGGTCCCCGGCGTAAGCAAAAGCCGAGGGACACAGGTCACAGTGGAAGGGCCGCTCACCCGTGTGGGTGCGGAGGTGCCCGGTGAGGGCGGCTTTGGACGAGAGCTTCTTGCCACACACGGGGCACGAAGTCGGGCACGAAGGGGGGCCCGAAGTCGGGCAAGCAGCGACTGCCGTCACTGTCGCCGACCCGTGAACGCCTCCAGACTCCAGGTAGGCCAACATACCTGCACAAAAACAAATTGTGAGTACCTCATAGTACACCAATGTCGAGAATGAATAATGAGAAAAGAAAACGGAACCTTAGCAGAATATGCAGCTGAAAAGCTCATCTGCTTTGCTACACTAAACGTATCTCCATTTTTCATGAAATTGGTTTCTTTTGCACAAGTACAAAGTTATTTTTGGTCATATTTATTGCAGATCCACCACACAGTTAAAGTGATATTACGCATAATGCTTTTCTGCACCGTAGAATTGCCACATAAATCACTAAAAACACACATATACTACACAAAAGAAATATCAACTACAAAACCATCCACACAAGAAACAGTAAGTTTGGGCAACAAAGTGCGATTGGACATTTATGGATTAGACATTTGTGGAGGAATATATGAGGTTGTTGTGTTGACTCTGGACTGTGGATGCTTTCTGTTTACATGCATCACTAGATTATCCTTCCGAATCGTCTTCAGGGGGCAATAAGGACACTGAAACTGCGCCGAAATTCCACATTCTTTTCTCATATGGCGGAGCATCGTGGATTTCCATTGATACCGGCGAAGACACTTAGGACATTGGAACTGTTTCGCTGGATAGTCTTCAAAAGATGAACCACTTCCTGGGTTATGCCAGCTATCTGACAAGGAATAAGTACCTACATCAAGAGAGAAATAAAGCTATTAGACACAATATGCATGTTTGGTAAGTGGCAGTTATGGTTCAAGGCTGAACCTTCAACAAGAGAAAGAGAGAGCGAGAGAGCGAGAGAGCGAGAGAGCGAGAGAGAGAGAGAGAGAGAGAGAGAGAGAGAGAGAGAGAGAGAGAGAGAGAGAGAGAGAGAGAGAGAGAGAATCAAGTCAAATTTAAGAAACTACAACAAATGGCCAAGACTAAAGCACACAATTATTTATTTCAAACACAATGAGGACTCTTTCATCAAGTAGCTTGTTCCCAAAGAACTTGTACAAAAATAGACACATAAAAGACACACAAAAAACCTTCAAAGAGAAAAGATTTGAAAATTAAGAGTTACCACTAATGTTGACTATTTAAAAAAGAATACATTTTGATCATCGTGTATTTCTTAGAGATAGAACAAAGAAAACAAAAATACAACCCTTTTTAATTGAAAAGTACTAAGCGACATTACACCTCAAAAATTGGTATGGAAGCATATGGGCAGGAACCACAAAAGTCTCCACTACTGAAATGACTATTTTTCAATAAAGACGAACCAAAAGAATAGGCCCCTCAAAGCAATTTATCAGTCATGTTTGAGGAATGAGGAATAATAAACCGCTATTCAGGAAATAAAAATTAATATGTACAATCAATTGAAAAAAATCACTCTTAGCATGCATCAAAATATAGTCACAAGAATGGTCCTATTCAAAATAAAGAAAAATTAGAAGTCAAAATTTTTAAGCGGTACAGTCCAAAGTTGAAAAGTTGACTATAAAATTTAAGCTCGGAATAAATTAAAACTAGACACAAAAATAGGAGGTAAAAAAAGCATCACCACACATATGATCAACACGTTACGTGACATGACCTCCGTGAGGACAGGAAAGTGTGGCAGTGGAATGTATAAAATATTTGGTCTGAAGGAAAGAGATACATAAATATTTCTTGTAAAATGTCACGTACAAATTCAGGTACAGGTGGTCACTATTAAATAAAAAATAGGATCAAGAAATATTTGGTTCATGTTATTCGTCACCAACAGGTGTTAAATGAGTTACTACGTTATTCTAAGAGATAATCTTTGGATAGTACTAGGTAATAATATTTATATGAGAAAAAATAGGAATGAAAGAAAAGGGGAGATTTAGAATACAGCAAAGTTATGTTGCAATAATAATTCCCTGAAGTGTGAAAAATAATACTGAAACAAAACAGCCTCAGATCAAAATACAAGTTAAAACAGGATATGCTTATCAAGATACTTTTTCACTTTGAAGACACAATGGTTCCACTTGGGATGGGAGATTTTGCAGCAGTGACTGGTTTAATGAGATACTCTGCAGGCCCCACTATTTGGCTTCCATGCTTCTTGATAATGTGTTTGCTAAGGTTTTCCTTGCGTTTGGAGCGATGGTCACAGAACGGACATCCATACTTAGGTTCTTGGCCACATTCTTGTAAGTGTCGATCTAGACCTTTCTTCCACCGATATACACGCTGGCAGTGCGGGCAAGTCTTTTCTTCAGCACTGTAACCATCGAGTACCGAATCTGTAAAAGGAAGCAGACAGACAGGTTAGAAAGAGAACTGGGGAACAGGCATGACAAAACCAAAAATATGGGGGAACAGGAGAAGAAAGTAGGTAAATATTAAAGGACAGTAATAAATAAATGTATAAAAATACCCACAAATGAATTTAATTCAAGAATCTACAAGTGCTGTTAACAAAACCAAAATCATATTTTACCACAGGGCAATTGCTAGCCGTTGTTTGTTTTAAAAAAATATAAAAGTAAAAACAACCAAAACCCTGACATGTCCACAAAATGGCATCAATATTTTATAAATTTGCAATTATGTCCGCAGAAATAGTAATACTATGACGACGGTTAGTATGTTTCGAAAGACTCTCTTTACGCTTGCATCTAAAATCACAATAAGGACAAATGTACTTTGGGGCCTGGCCACATTCTAACAAATGCCTGTCAAGTCCTCGTTTCCAGCTGTAAGCTTTGCTACAATTAGGACAAGTTTTATCTTCTTTGGTGAAGCCATCCGCATCCACTTCTTTGTCGCCTGGAAAAGCAAATACAAGTCAGTTACGGTCAATTACACACACACAAACACTTCCTTTCCAATCATACAGAAAACACTCAGCCTTGGCATCTTTAAAACTATGTGAGAGTTATGTTCTTTTTAGAACTGGTCTGATTTTTAAAAAAATCCTTAACAAAAACAAAAAACAACATGAAATTTCTTTTATTTATTTAATGACCCCCAAATACAATAAGTCTTCAACAAAACACTTCATGAAAAAAACATTGCTGATATGGCAATAAGATCTTCACTGAGGGGAGAATTTTCAACGGGACACTTGGTTGCTGTTCTGTGGTGCGCGGGCCCTACAGTGCATCCAGTAATTTGACGCGGACGCTAGCCATCATTGCTTGCACGACAGGGGCGGGGCCACCTTAGCCGGGCCAGCCGGGCCGGCCTGGCCGGGGTGGTGCGTGTTGACGTGCTGCACGAGGCGGTCGTTGCGCTTGGAGCGGTACGCGCAGAAGGGGCACTGGAAACGCGGCGCGCGACCGCACTCGAAGCGCAGGTGCGCCGAAAGGGTCTTCTTGAGCTGGTAGCGCTTGTAGCAACGTGGGCACCCGAAGGTGCCATCGTCACCCTTGAACTGCTCCAGCACACCGCGCGTGTAGGGCTGCCACTGCAGCTCGTCCAGAGGGTCCAGAGCGTCCGCGGCCAAAGCCTCCATGGCCACTGCCCGCATCAGCACGCCGCCTGCAACACGAGACGCGGCGGCCTGTCAGCACAGCTGCCCCAGCAGGCCGCGGAGTTGCTCACCTGGTTCCAGGCGCGAGGGCAGCCGCGAGTTGGAGATCAACTTGTCGTGTCACGGGCTAATGCGCCGCCCCGTGTCGCCCCGTGCAGCAGGAGGCCTAGCTGCGCGCTGCGCCTGGCTCGCCACGCCCCGCCATCACGGACACAAGGCGCAACGAAAACGGAACGAAAATTCCACAAAACGACATGAGAAGCAGAGAGAGGGATCTAGAGAGAGCGGCAGCATCCCCCTTTTCTCCCTCAAACGCGCGCTTGATAAGCCGTTTAGCGACCGCCCCTTACAACAACAGCTGATCCGGGGAGTTGAAGAAGACGAGGGCAGGGGGAGGGGAGAAGGGATGGAAGGGGGAGGGGGAGGGGGTATCAGGCTGCACTGCGCTGCACGTGCGCAGCGCACGGACAGCGAGTGGACGAGACGAGTGGCGACTGAAACGTGAACCTGCGTGGCGGCGGCGCGACTTAGAGCGGCAGCTTATCGCAAAAGAGAGAGGTCCGGGGGAGACTAACGCCCTGCGGCACTGAGTCCTCAATAAAAAAGAAAATTACATTGCCATTACCAGTGCAGCAGGTTCCGCGCCGAGGGGATAAACACTTAAAGAAATCGTGTACAGACTACGTACTCAGTATTACGCTGAATAACGAGGATATTACACGTGTATTACGGCAATAAAATGCCAAAATTTGGCACATTGGACCCAACATTGGTATTACGTTCATGTGCATAACAAAGAAAAAACATAGTTGTGCCGCACCGCGTTTCGTCGCTCTGTCTCTTTCGCTTCGTTGGACGGACGGACGCCCCGTGAGTGCGAGAGAGACAGAGCGACCAAACTAATCTTTGAAATCTGTATTAGGATATGCCCTTCTCCACGAAATCAGTCGGCTGGTTGTGAAAAAGATGTCTGACAACTGTCAAAAATCTGACAAAAAAAAAGGTATTGAGAATTGTACTGAGATATACGAGATAAGAACCAAGGCACTGTGGGCTTAAGTACTAACCTCCTACCCTAGAGAAGCAAAACTTAACGAAGACAATAATGTGTTGAACATCGATGGTTGACAACAATCTTAAACTTCGATTTCGTTTGGAATAGCCTGCTATCCCTGGACTAGCTAGCTCGACTTGCTTGAGTTGGGAAACATAAGAATTGGCTATCGCTCTACACCAAACAGACCCAAAAGTTAAAAATTCATTCGCTTTATAATGAAAGATATACTCAGAGACAACATGAGCAAACATTATCATTTCACTGATTATTCACACAATTTCACTGATTATCAAATAAATTCAGAAAAATGATTTTCTTGAGAGACTTAACGACAACAAACATAAGACCCTTCATAGCTGACCAGAAGCGAAGAATGGCCAAGACAACAAAAACAGGACCACATCCAGAGATCTAGAGGAGGGCGTTTTCTGACTCACATGACCGCAGGCCGGAGACACCAGGGACTCACACGCTAATCCATGACTTCCAGAACATATCGATGAGGAAACGAGAGCCTCCCAGGCGACTTGAGCGACTGGAGTAACCCCATGACATACACACACGCACTGACACTCGAGACACTCGGGGGGCTGGCCGCGCTTGCAGCGCGTCACAGGCCATGGAAACACTTGCACATGATCACAACGAACTGCACTAGACACTTCACACTGCTTCACACCAACAGAATCACCACTGCACTCCGCGACGCGATAAAAACTCAGAGCCGGCAAGAACACGCGACAAGGTTATGTCGCCCACGGGTAGGTAAACAAGCATGCGGAAGCGGAGTGGGGAAGCGGGGAGGGGAGGGGGGAGCTGCGGCAGCGCGCGCATCCCGCCAACCGCAGCCACCGCTCCCGCTCCGCCGCCGAATCCTCCGAACCCCCACCCCCACCCCCACTCCTAGCCTGTCTGACACATTCGGTTTTGAGCTTGCTTCCCTGCTTCCTTCACGTCTGACAGCCGTCACATGTGCTCGAGACCCAGCCTCTCGGCTTCTCCCCGCCGACGGCCTTGCACTGGGACCAAGCAGACCGGGAGGGCCGACCTCTCTTCCGTGGCCCGGAAGCCTCGATGAGCTGCACACAGCACCACCGGCACCACTGGCCAGCGATGAAGGTGCCCTGGTCGAGGCCTTGGCCGATAGCCTCAGGGAAGCTCCAGCAGGGAAGCTCCAGCAGGGCGATCTGTTAGTATAGTACACTAAGGACACGACCATGGCCATGGCCAAGACAGGGTGACTCACGAAAACATAACAAGAATTTCGACTCAGGCGTATATTCACAAAAGGATCACAAGCGGCGATTCAGTTGGGGTCAGACGGCGCGAGGCGCGTCATGCCAGAGGATCCTTTGCAGGCCGAGGCGCGGACGGCGCCTGCACCACCAGCATCTGCATCTGGTGCTTGGTGCGCATGTGGCACGTCAGGTTGTAGCGCTGCTTGGACTTGAAGGGGCAGTGCGGGCAGAAGTTGGACGGCCCTTTGCCACACTCGATGCGCACGTGACGCCGGAGGTTCCTTTGGTAGCGGTACACCTTGCCGCACTGCGTGCAGGGGAAGTTCTCCCCACCGTTCAGCACCGCGCCACCCTCCAAAGAACACACACCTGTAAAGACACGGCAAAGTTAATGGAGGCAATGTGAGGCAGTCTGCAGAGCAGTCATGACAGACAAATACGGAACACTCAAAGCCATATCAAAACAAGTCTAGAAATAAAAAATCAATTTTAAAACAATATAATAAATGACCTAAAAATCTTAGGAAAAGAATTTATTTTGGCAGAAAAATATTTAAAATACAACTGGCAACATCAAAGAAGTGGAAAAATATGTTGCGACTATGTACATTTCAAAGAGGTGGATTGACTTAACATAATACAATGTGAGTTCCGATGGACTACCAAAACAAGACCAGGATAAAATAAATTGCTTCCGAGGTGAGGATTGCAGTCTGAGTCTTGGGTGTGTTGTAGCTGCTAACTCAAACGCTAAAGGTCTGCTGTTGAAAGCGCTGATGATGATCAGAAAACGTAGAAAGAGCCTGGTGTCAATGAAAGGTTTGGCCTAAGGACCACTACATATTGTAAGATTAAAACAGGGAATAGAGATGCAACTCAGTGCAAATAAATAAATAAATATATAAATAAAAAGACAAGACAATAAATTATAAGATTACAAGAATACTGCATACATTTAAATAAATAGCTTATCCATTATGACAGGCATTTGGCACACTGTTTAAGTATGACAAAATGTATTACTTAACATTAAAGCTCAAAATCAATTACAAAATAGAGATGGAGACAGTAATTAACACATGATAAAAAGAAAGGAATGAGGTGAAACACAGAGCTTTTATGACTTAGCTAATCTGAAAAAAAGGAGCCACATAAATGTTCTCCTGCAGTTTAAGCTATTCTACATCAAAATTGCCTGGGTACAGTATAAATACGGCTTTCAAAATTTGACTGATTAATGTTACCCATACTGTCATTCAAACAGCACTTTTGTAGAGCAGCAATGAGATCGATAATTTATTTGGTTCAAAGGCACAAGTCTTTTTAATTTTTGCCTTTTTGGCCATGTAAGTACTTTCAAACAGTCACACAATGTGTAAGTACTTTTATCACAATAACTTAGAAAACAAGATGCTTCTGTGATGGCACTAATTTTACTGCGTTCAAATCTTATAAATGTAAAATTGACTTGGTCATTAATAAAATTGGGACTACTTTGTAGCCCTTTAGTCTTTGCACCAAATAGGCATGCCTTAGAGAGTCAATACAAAGGCTCACAGTAGTCCTTTGGATACATGAAAACCTAATGCCACATGGATCACAACTTTACTCTGAAGAGTAAAAAATATTCACATGAGGAGTACATTAGACATGTGAGGTGAATAATCTTACTTGTCTCACTAGTGTTGCTTTAAAATCTTTGGTTCAGTGCAGATCAAGTGGAATCATATTATACAGTCCAACTCACCTAAGGACTAAATCTACATCAACACAATACATAAATGCCACTCAGGCACAAGTGCACACACAAAATACAATTGGTAAGTAAAAATAATGATAATTATATCAAAATCAGGTGCATCACACAATACTACATTTAGAAAGTCAAATGAGGAGTCTCATTTTCCAGGAGGTGACTTTGCCGTGCAGGGACTTCCCTTTCCAAAAAAGGAGAAGAAAACCACATGGCAGCAGCTGCAAAGAGAGCCTCTTCCTTGCTGCCGCGTGCTGCCGCGTGCTGCCGCGTGCTACTGCATCGGCAGCTGCAGCACGGACAGGCTGGCCAGGCTGCCCTGCTGCTGCGGCAGCTGCGGCGCCCCGTAGAGCTGCTCCTTGTGCTGGCTGGACACGTGCTGCATGAGGCGGTCGTTGCGCTTGGAGCGGTGCGGGCAGAAGGGGCACGGGAACTGCGGCTCCTTGCCGCACTCGAGGCGCGTGTGCCGCAGCAGGTTGTTCTTGAGCGTGTACTTCTTGCCGCAGTTCTTACAGTCGAAGGACGGCTCGGACTGGCGGCGCCGCACCGATGACTGCATGTTGGTCTTGAGGCGGCTGATGATGCCGTCCACGTCGAGCAGCGCATGCGGCGCGTGCGCCGCATTGTGCGCAACGGGCGTGGCGGGCGTGGTCGACGGGGACGTGAGCGCCAGCGCCGCCTGCACCACCCCGTCCGGATCTCCCTTCACCTTGCGGCCCTGGCTCTGCTGGCTCTGCTGGATCTGCTCCAGCCACGCGGCCAGTGGCACCGGCTGCGCCGGCCCCAGCGCTGCAACACACGGACACGAGAGTCAGCCTCTGGGGGGCGCACGCGCATGCACACACAAACACACGACCGAGCGCACGCTAGCGGCAGGGGGCAGTGTACACCCCTCCGACCCACCGGTACGACAGCAGTCATAAACAAAATATTACACACACTCACACACATGCAGGGGAGATAGAGGGCAACACAGAACACAGTTGTTTAGAGCTGAAACCGTTTATTGGAGCGAACATTCATCAGCCCATGAGCGCCCAGTCGCTGGCCACTCCGGAAAGGGGTGCGTCTTGGGCGAGGGGGTCCTGCGCGAGCTGCGCGTGCTGCGCGAGCTGCCCGTGGTCAGGGTGGTGCCGCGCCACGTGGTGGTGCAGGTTGTTCCTGCGCTTGGAGCGGTGCGGACAGTAGGGGCACGAGAACTGTGGCTCCATACCGCACTCCAGGCGCAGATGGCGGAGCATGTTGCGCCGCAAGCTGTACACCGTGCCGCAGCCGGGGCAAGGGTGCGCCTCCCTAACCCCCGCGGCCCCCGCGGCCCCGACGGCCTCCTCTTGAGACCGCCCCGACCGCCCCCGTCGAGGTGGCTGATCACCGCGACCCCGCGAGCTGCGACGCGCACCTGTAAAAGAGAGCAGCTAGTCAGACAACGGTCTTGGGCACGGGGGGTGGAATCCACGGTTCACAGGACTGAAAACCCCCGGGCCCAACTAATACATCCATAGTAGATCGCTGGACGTTTAGGCGGTCACAAAATTCAAACAAAACAGATTTTATTTGACAAATTAGATGATAAATATCACACAAAGAAGTGAGTCCCTTAAACGGCAAATCAGTATCAACATGCACCCAAGCATAATATAAGTTGCATCTAACAAAATATAGTAAAATATACATCTTTTAAAAAACTGTAAGCAATGGAACACGCAGCGAAAGCTAAAAACAATAATATAGGAGACTTTTCATTTAAAAATCACAATGACCAAACTTCCAATATACAGTATGGAATTGCCTTCAAAGCCCTTACTCTACAATCCAGGTACTCTTTAACTCATAAGACTGGCATAAGCTGACTAGTAGAGAATACCATCACATCTCCATCAAGAGAATGATTTCTATCTGAAGCAACACATTTAAAATATATAGAAAATATAATAATAACAATATAGCAAGGAAAACAGTAAATAAAACAGCATGACAAAAAAAAGTTTTTGCAAAGGGAGAACAAAACAGTTAGCAACCAAGATAACTAATGATAATTTCTTTAGTGTATTTCTACAATGCCTATTTTTAAAAAATGAACTCTTCAACAGCATTTGGTTAGTACATATCACAGGGATATGAGTATCCCATCAACCCAACCCAGCAAACCTTAAAATAGGATTTTTTTTTTCAAATGTATCACTCATGACTATATCACAATCACAAAGATTGGAGCAAAGCGCTGCAATCTATGAGTCACAAACCACTGAAAAGCTGTGTTACCCATTGAACAAAATACTGAAGGCTTGATGCAACAGAACACTAGTACCAAACAGGTCTAAACAAGTTCTACACATTCATCACATTCATCAAGGACTAAGTTATCCGCACTCAACAACGATCATTAAGGCCAGCAAAAGTTTGTCATACACAGCATTTAGTAGTCATTGCTGCAGAGACCAAAACCAAATCAGCAAAAACTTTTAGTAAAAAAGTGAAAATGTAAACAAAATTTTTCTTGAATATCTCGGCAGTTGGACCACAAAATAAGGAGGGCTGTCGGCACCCTCGACATGCCAGATTCCCCTCTACGCTAGAGAGCTGACGGCTTGGGAAGGGCGGCGTTGCCCGGGCCGGCAAAGACCACCTCGGGAGGATGCTTCGACAGGATGTGCGCGCGGAGATGCGAGTTGCGTCGAAAGCGGCGCACGCACTGCGGACAGCGGAACTGCGGCTCCATGCCACATTCGTATCGCAGGTGCTGGAGCATGTTCTTGCGGTAGCCATACTCTTTCCCACAGCGCTCGCACGGGTACGAGCCTGGTTCGAGTGCCGGTCGCGCTCTGGCGCGCTGGGGCCGTTTTTGTCCGAAGGCGTGCCCCCTCGCCAAGGCCACGACCATCGCCAATCCTGCGGAAGGAAAATACTGTCAAAGCGTTACACGGGACACGGGCCCGTGTCATAGGAGCCTCCTAGAGTCGACCAAGGGGGTGGCAGCTGGAAATGAAGGTAAAGACGGAATAATGGGAACAGTACAACACATCATTTATTACCAACAAATTTCAACTAGTTTTCATACACTTTACTGGACCGGTCCTTGTGCCACAGTTGCAAAAAGAAATCCATGCCAAAGGTAAATGTGACTTCTTAACAGATTCCTATTTAACAGACGTAAAATGTGAATCTTAAACTTTTAATTAATTAACTCTTTTTGACATAGATTACCAACTACATTTACATATCACATATGCTTTCATTGAGAAGAAAGAAAAGAGAGAAGGCTATCGAAGCTCTCAAACAGCATTTTTGCAACAATGAAATTGTTTGAAATATTGATCAAAATTTAAATGCATTTGCATGTCTCACAAAATATACCAAAATACTAAAAATCTGACTGCACGTCTTTCTGAAATTTCCCACAGCTTTAAAGGGGGAAGTAAACTTCAGATTGAGCTTGTTTAGATTAATTCAAAGATCAAGTAAAGGCAATTAGAAAAATAAAGCACTCAATCTAAGATCTGGATTCAACTACACACCCATTCTTTCATTGCAAACAGATAGTAACACATCTACTATGAGCCATTCCAATGCATTTCATTGTGGCGTGAGCGGACATGGTACAAAAGGTCATGCTTTCGTTTTGATCGGTGATTACAAAATGGACAGGGGAACTGAGGCGTCATGCCACATTCCAATCTAAGATGACGGTTCAATGTGGTTCTCCTCTGATAAACTCGAGTACAGTTAGGGCATGAAAAGTTGCCTTGGTTGTTACAGTTGGTCTGTACAAGGTGTAATGCAGCTACAATCCCATCATGGGAATTATCATCTTCAGCATCTGAAACAAAAATATTTAAAACAATGTGAGAAAAATAGCCATTTCCTGTTAGGAAGGAATTGTGGAATCTTAAAGAAACAGTTCTTCACACAGTCATCAAGGAATAATGTCACACATGACAAATACAACCAAATAAATAATGTAATTTAAATTAAGATGTCTTTAATGAACAGTAGTGTTTATTTTATATTTCCTTCCATTTCACAAAAGATAAGAAAGTCACAATCCTTTTTAGGAGGCATCAGAAACTTGACATATTGACATGTGTCGAATCATACTACTCTTTCGAGTAAATGCTAATGAACAATGAGGACAGTTGAATCTACGCTCTTTACCGCACTCAAAGTTAAGGTGTCGGTTTAAATTTCCTTTCCAAGAGTACGCTTTACCACACTGTGGACAAGTAAAAGGACCATGGGTTGGAGATGAGCCTTCTTGAAATGCCGAAAGCCAGGACTCTAAAAATGAAAGAAAACAAACAGTCAATAATATTTAAGACAAAGCTAACAGAATGCGATGTGATACAAACACTATCAAAGGAAGTTCTCAGACAGATAAGGGGGGGGGGGGGGGGAAAGCAGTTTAAACCACATTTAAATGCCATCACATGGTATTTCCAATTGCATAAATTATATATTTCAAAAAGGTCAGGAATACAAAAAAATAGACACTTAATTAAAACAAATACTGAGATGATATAAAAAAAATACTAGTATGGAAAATAGAAATCCAAAGAAATTTTATGCACCTAGAACAGCTTTGATCAGGTAGAAAATAAAGTAAAAACAATGTTAGGGACTTTTTATAGAAACTACCAACATTACTTCTACAACTCGATGGTGCACTTTTACCCACACACCTGTATACAAATCAGTGAGTGCACAAAGGAAATAGCTCACACATTAAAAATATAGAAAAGTGAATAAATATGCAAGTGGCGTGCAACAATGCTACAATTATTACTTGCAGTCTAAAACTCTTTGGTTATTTACAGAAAAAATCGGAACTTTGATTCAATACTATGCTAATATACACGATTGCAAGTACAATTTTAGCAATTCTAATGCAGTCTGGCCTCATATTAAAACTATTGATCAATTATGTTATAAGTGATAAAATGCTAGTTCTGCACTTAGAGAACTAAAATGAACAGTGAATATAAATCAGCTTCCAGAGAATATGCATTAAAGACAATGATCAGGGTTGCACACAATCCTACAAACACCAATGCAATGCAGCAACATCTGTTCATGTTTGCATTCAGCCATGCAGCCCCACAAGTTCCAGCAATAAGGAAGAGGTTCAGTATAGAAATTCATTGCAATTCATTGTTTCTATCCTGAGTGCAACTATTGTTACAAAGTAAGTTGTTCCAAGCACACGTCTGACAAATGAGTAATTAAAAAAAAAAAAACAGCTGCTGCCCCTAAACCACAGATATTGTGCAAAAGAAACAACAAAAATAACAAAATCATTAGTGCTGAGAAGCATAGTACCAAGAAAGAAGCGCTTTGCTCTACATCTTTAAAAGAAATCTCAAGTTTGGGTGCATATCATGAGGCAAAACTAAAATAAAAAATGAAACAACTTTGCTTCAGAGCAAGTCATACGTCATAAATACTGTTCGTGTATCTATACAAGAGATATTTTTGGAGACAAACAAACGCCTAATACCACATTACACCGACTACACACATACACAATATAAGTCTTGAAGTTGTTTATTGGTGTGAATATAAAGAAAAATATATTTTAAAAAAATGGAAACAGTACAAAGGTGAGACCAAGTGCAGAACATACATTGCAAGTAACTAAACTTTCAGTCTTTCCTACTGAGTAAGTACATACAGGAGCATACAGTTACAGAAAATGAAAGCTAACATAAACAAATATGAGTAAGTTACACATCATTTTATAATAAAAAAATACACAGAAAATTTCAGTATCATTCAACCTATTATTTATCGACTTTGTTAGCATCACAGAGGTAAGGTATACATGAAGAAAGAAAGAAGAAGAGAAAACTGTTTTCCAAAACTGATGGAAATTTGGAGTTCATTTTAGGCATAATGAATAATACCTACACAGGCACTAGATGCCACAATACTTAGGTGATGTTATCACATTACATATATTTCCATATTTGGTAGTATACAAAATCAAGGGGATGGTCAAGGTACTCAAGAGGAAAGTTTTTCCCCACTTTCCCCAAACAGTATCGTATCTATGATTGAAACGCACAGCATGTAAGGCACTTGTCCAAAAAAACTTTGAGGAATAAGGAAAAATTTAAACTGCAAACATACACCAAGTGCAGATCGAGAGAGGAACAATGAGGTCATGTTCTCCCACTTTCCTCCCAAATCTGAGGTAGAGTTATAACAAGGGTGGTTGCACTTGTCCTCCCCTATTTTGTAAGCAAAAGGACGGCCAAAAACATATAAACTTCTGCAAGCAGCCAGAAAGCAACTAAATTCAAACATCAGTGGAATCCACATCTGATGCACTTCTGAACAAATTGGTCACAAAGAAGAACTGGAGCCATGCATCAGCATAAAAAGGACATATATTTCTAAGTTGAAGTCTGTGTGGAAGCCAGATAAAAACAAAAATAAATAGAAGATAATTTTAAAAATACCTCTCATTTTCTACAAATCACAGGTTCTCAAAGGAAAGTCAGTCTTATACTGATGCCGACGGCTATTAACATGAGACAGCATTTGATCTTTACGCTTGAATTTCATGGGGCAAAGAGGACAAGGGAATTGTGGCTCTTTACCACATTCAAGTCGGAGATGTCTATTTAGAGTTATCTTCCATTTGTACTGCTTCCCGCAATGAGGACAGTCATGTGTTGGTGCTCCAGGTAGAGGAGCCCCTGGATGGGAAGGTCGTTGAGCCCATTGTTGGGTTGCTTCCCACGTTGAGGAAGAAGCACGCGCCATTGGCAGGCTTTTGGCCCAAACTCGGCCCACTTTATCTGGAAAAGAAAAACAGAGTTAGTGCCAGTCCAGAGTTAATACTTTAGCAAGAGAAAAACTTTGTGACGGAACTGTGAAATAGTACTGGTTATGCAGAGAAGTAAGCAATTTAGACATTGAGAGACGAAATGGGAGGGCATGGGAGTGTGGAAGTCTGGGAGATGGTTATTGAGTTTCACAAATGGTGCTTGGTTGCTTTTGAAAACTTTATTGCTAAGTATTTATAAGTTAGAATTACGTAAGTAATATTGCTCACAAAACCCTTGCATCTATAAATATTTTTAAATAATATAATTTAATGTTAGATTTTTACTCAACAGAAACTTAAAGAACAAATTCACAGCAAGTACACAAAACCGTATCTTCATATGAGACAAAGTTCAATCTACATAAAAACATCAATAACACAAAGCCAGAAATTCTTTCCCTACATTTGCTGTCATGGCATCTGGTGTATGCGACTGTTCACGTGTGTCAACATATGGTCTTTCCTTTTAAAACGAGCTGGGCACAGGGGACAGTGCCACTGACGTTCCTTCCCGCATTCGAACCGCATATGTCGAGCTAGCGTCTCCTTCCACGTGTACATTTTACCACAAGCAGGACAGCGATAGCTTGGACCTGGTTTGATAGCAGGAAGGAATGTCCCCTCAACATCATTTCGATCTGCAGGAAGAAGGCTTCTCGGATCTGTCCAATTGTTACTGCTGTCAATCCCTGTGAAACAAATATCTTATTAAGAAAGGAAATGTAATGAAGACTGTTAACTGCCTTGAAGCACTGATTCTGTCAAGATAGAGTTTATGATAAAATACTGATAAACTGTACACTAAAGGAACCAAAATGTTTGTGAAGAATTGTAAAGTTTTTTATTGTAATAACAAGTAATGACAAGACTACAGGTATAAAACTAGCCTAGTAAATAGCTAAAATACAGCTTAGCAATCTAAAAAAAATGGACTCACGATCCACATTGTAAATTTTTTAGTGACTACCAAACAAAAGTTTATTTTGAAGAACCCCTCCCACCATAATAATGTGACACAATTTCAAATTCATCCTTAGTCAATTGCATAAAAAACAAACAAATTTGTTGTGTTTCAGCTCAATAAACATTAAAGCAATAAGATGAAAACTGTAAACCAGAGCAACATAGCATCTATAAAGTAGACACTACATAAAAATGCACACAAACACAATCTGAGATGTAATGAACAAAGCACAAAATGTGTAAAAGAAAACTGAAACAGAGAAACAATTCAAAAGTTTTAAGGGAGACGAAGAGGATCAGCATTGACGAAAGATGAATGTCGCTTGCTGTTCATATGGGATTGTAATTGATCTTTTCTTTTAAACATCATTGGGCACAAGGGACATCTAATATTGGGAACCTTCCCACACTCAAGTCGCATATGGCGCATTAAAGTTTCTTTCCATGTATAGGATTTTCCACAGTTTGGACAAGTATGTGGGCGGTTGTACTTTCGTTGCTTGGTCCATGAATACTCTGGAAACATCTGATGAGATGCCACTGGTGCCTGCATTCGCCCTGCAGTCACCTTTTCATCACTGTGAGAATAACCTGTAATACACACAAGATGTAAGTAACAAAAAAAATAATACAAAAACAAAGAGAAAAAAGTTGCTTTCTGTGGTCAACTCATCAAATAACAAGAGACAAAGAAACAACAATGTCTATGTATAATAATTGAAAATACAGATAATAATTATGGTATATTTGTTCATCAAAAGCTTAACTTCTAGCCTAATTTGTAAGCTTAAACAAAACAGAACAATATGAAAATAAAAAACAACTAGATGATATTTAGAAAGAATTTGAGGGGCATAATATCATGCACAATTTTTTTTTTTTTTTTAATGCAGTCTATTGTGTAGTAGACATAGAGCTTCTTCAGCCTTCACACTATGTCATTTTTTAGAAGTACTTTTGATTCTGGACGAATAATTGATGTCGTAGCTTCATATGACGTTCTAGATGGCCTTTCCGTTTGAAACGCATAAAACACTGATTACATTGAAATTGGCGTTCTTGTCCACACTCTAATTTAAGATGCCTATTTAATGTTATCTTCCATTTGTACACTTTGCCACATGAAGGGCAAGGATAAGGCCCATCTATTGGTGTGTTTTCACAGTTGGAAGTACGGGTTGAAGGACATAATTCCCAAGAATTGGGAATTGATAAAATGCCTGAAAAATAACAAAAAGTAGTATTAATACAAAAAAATCACAACACCAGATATGGCAGGGACAAATGCAAAATCTTAATCTTTTTTTTTTTTAAGCAAAGCAACATGTTATAGCTTCAATGCACACTTAGATGAGGATAAGATTTTACACAAATGTTGAGGAAGAAATCGTACATACAATGTTTATTATTGATCAACACTGAACTGCACAGAACATGAATTGTAAAGCTACACAATTTCAATCAAAATATCGTTCAAAACATAAAAAAGCTATCGAAATAAAAAAAAAGATAAAAGCATCCACTTAACATAGTACCTTTTTATTTAATTCTCTGAGATAAAAATGCCGAACACTTTCACAAGTTAATTGACATTGTTATATTCACTTAACATAATGCCAAAGATCCCTATTTTACACCCAGTCCCAGTTTGTATTATTTATAGCAAGTATTAATCTTTGCGCACAGTTCAGCTCAAGCCCAAGATAAAACAGGTGCGCAGGAATTTTTTTTAGATTTTGTGAAGTCTAGAAGCATGACGCACCATATGGCCCTTTTGCTTGAAGCGCATGGGACACACTGGACACTGAAACTGGGGTTCCTTATTACACTCAAGTCTGACATGCCGATTTAGAGTAATCTTATGTTTGTAGGTCTTCCCACAATCAGGACAAATAAACGGTGACACAGTTGACACACCGCGATTACTTTTCTTTGGTACAATTGCTGATGCACCACTGCGACCAGCCAATGGAAGTGAAGGTGTTGAGGCCCAATCCATCCACAAGACGGAAGCTCCTGCAAAATGGGTTCTGTATTACATTACAAATCAAACAGACGACCACTAAGATAGATGTTTGCTAGATACTCAAAAAAAATAGCAAAACTAAAAAGTTGTTACTTAAATTGCAGTGAACCAAACTTTTTGAAAGATAACTTGCTCCAGATAGGATTGTACAGCAAAGTTCCAGTTTTATCATCAAAGGGGCGAAGTTTATTGTAAATTACATGGTAAAACAAGTAGTATTCACACCTTCAACTTGCCATCCACATCAAACATGCACGCAAATAAGAATGATCATCTTAAAAAAACACAGACATTACATGAAAAGAAACACACATGAAAATTAACGAATAAATACATGGATATCAAAAGAAACAAGAGGAAATGCTTAATACTAACCACTTTGATAAAGAAAATACCCCCCCCCCCACACAACACACACCAAAAAAAAGTTTTGTCTTTGGTTTCTTTATTTATTTTATAACCCTGACTGGGTAACAGTCTAATGTTTTTCTACCACACTAACATTAATTTAAGTAAAAGCACTGTTGAAAGGTTCCAAACAAAATTCTCCTCATGACTTCAACACTACACCATGAAAGAAGGCGTCCTTCTTTCATGACTACACACAGACACAGACCCCCCCCCCCCCCCAAAAAAAAAAAAAAAAAAAAAAATCACACACACACTCTGACACTCACACAAAGGGAGAAAATACTTTGACTAGGAACACTTAAGCAACTATTTACAGCACAGAGGAATGTGGTGTTTGAGTTACAAGTAAATCTTCTAAATCAACCTGCAGAAAAAAATTATGAAACAGTTCACTTCATGGAAAGAAAATGATGACTATTAAACACTTTGGTTCAGGTCCATAACAATAAGCTATTCATGTGAGTCTCAAAGTTCTTTGGTGCAGGTACAACAAACAAATACCACATGGTGTTTGCATACAGAAACAGTAATTTGCAATTTCAAAAAATTACAGGAACAACTCAAAGTATGATGACATAAAAGAGAGAGAACAATTGTACACAATTGCAGAAAAAAAAAACTTTACCTGTAGATAACAAGAGTTACAGAACAGTAAAAGATAAGTTGAGTGGAAATGCCCTTAAGATTACCAAAAACTCAATCAAGATAGACACAAGAAAAGGCCCAGTAAAGCAAATTTTGCACACAGAGTTAAAAAATATAAGAAATCTATATTCAGCTGAGTATAGGGCACACAGTCGTCTGATTTATTAAGTTGTTGGCAGTACTCTCTTTCTCAGTACAATCCGAAAAGACCGTTTATTAGTTATATCAAAAATAATTTCTCTCAAAATAGAATAATATAAAAATAGATGGAAAAAAATTTCAACAAATTTTAGCAAAAAATATTATGGTTTCCATTCCTTTCTCAAGATACAAAAGTACTTTTAGGTATAGTGTAAAAATATTATATTTGAAGTTTCACTTTGGATCCAACAAACCCTAAAATATCAAGAGGACAATTGGGATGCAGTCTTGTAGCATGTCGAAATACATGGCACTTTTGCTTAAACTTTTGTGGACAAAACGGGCATTGGAACTGGGGCTCCTTATTGCATTCAAACTTGGAATGGCGCAACAGATTCCTTTTAAGTCCATACATTTTTCCACAATCAGGGCATTTAAAAGAGTGCTGAAGAAGTGTTTTATCTTTCTTGTAACCTTCATTGATTGTCAAATTCAGTCCATTGTTTGCCAGTTGACTCGCAGCTAACAAGATTTTACTCTGTGTGGCAACAGCAGATGCAGCAGTTTTGAAGAAACCAGTGGAATGTGGCACATGAAATAGATGGTTTGGATCTGTAAAAGAGAACACAAGTTAGATGGAAATAGTAACAGACACACTTCCTACTGATGCCAGTTACCCTACACTTTGATACAGCAATTATGTGAGAGACAACACCATGAAGGAAAAAAATACTTTCAGGTATTCCTTATCTTGAAGGCATTTAATGAAATCACTAGGCAAATCAGAACAGAACAACCACTTTCCTTAAGATAAGAGCCAAATTTATCCCAAATGGAAACGTACACATTATTAAGCAAGAAATTTCTTCACACTTCTTTAAAAGATTTTGACTTTACAAAAAACAACTTATCTTCCTAATACTAACATTCTAAAGTAGGTATGACATGTCTACAGTTTCATTGTTCAATTTCCTTAGCTGAGGATTCTCAACATTTAAAATGTGGGTTTTCAAATGACTCTTCTGTTTGAATTTCTTTGAACACAAAGGGCACTGAAACTGGGGCTCTTTGTTACACTCTAAACGTAAATGTCTCATTAAAGTCTTTTTCAAATAATAACGTTTCTGACACTGGTGGCATTCAAAGGGCTTGTCCATGGAAAATCTTGATCGAATACGTTCGACCCCTTGGCTTAGGGGATTAGAGACCAATTCTCCTTGACTGCCCACTTGATTAAATAGATGTTCTGGAAAGAGACAAAAGGTATAAGTACAGTGAGGGAAATAATAACTTTATAACTGAAAATACGCCTGCAAATCACAAAAGCCTTTTGTTTTCCAGTGGTGGAATTTTAATGGTTTAGGGACATTTATTCTAGGTTCACACATAGAGAGACAAGTCATGACAACAAGAGAAAGTACAAAAAAGTACTGGAAGTTTTATTCAAGTTTTCCACAATCCACTGCAAAGTTACAGATATAAAACTGACATTTCCTTTATCAAAATCAACTCCACTCCTTTAAAAGAAAAAGAGAAAACAAAATTCTTGGGAAAGGGACAGTAAAAAAGTGAACTTCAACACTCACAGAACATTACAAGAAATTATCACTTTCCACAAACTTTTGATGACAAATGTGTCATCAAATGAATTTTTTGACGAAATTTCCTCCCACAAAGAGGACATGAAAACTTTGGATCAACATTACATTCCATTTGCACATGGCGCCACAGCGATTTTTTGAGAACATATCGTTTACCACAAATACTACAGACAAAGGGTCGTCCGCTTTCAGGAATGGGATTCTTTGCATGTCTGCCTCTTGGTTTGGGTTGAGGAGAAATGAAGCTTGATGATTGTGGTATAACTGCAGCATCACTGCTAGTGCATGAAACACTAAATCCAATCACTTCAGCAGAGCAGAGCAAATCTGAATCTGAAAGGACACAGGAATTAATATCAGTAAACTACGTAGAGCAAGCACCAAATCAGTCTTTCTTAGGTTTGGTCTTATGGTTACTCTGAATTGGAACGAGGGGAAGGGGGTAAGGGAAGTGGGTGAAAGAGAAAAGAGTTGACAGAGTGAGAAGGCTTGGTGGCTTTGCTGGGATTGATAATAGAATAACTTGCACAAATGACAAATATGGGCAGGTGAAAAATTACTTTAATGATACTTTTACATGGTATTACAATACTTATACAAAATTCAACTGAATGATTCTATCACAAAGTTCTAATGAAACTGAAACAGACTCAGATAGACACATAATAATAAAAACAATGATGATTCAAAATACAAAGTTTAGTCACATAAAAGGGGCAACTTTACATGATCAGATGGCTATAATCAAAACAACCTGGAAAAGCGATTGCTGAAAAGGGATTGCCTGTTTCCTGAACAGGGATACTATGTTACATATACATCACTGCCGATGAAATGGCCTGAAATAAAACAACAGCATGCACATGAAGAAGCATAGAACGATGAGACAACCCGTTCTCAAACTAGAAACCATCAAAACAAACACTTGTCTCTGGTGCCCACAAAATCTGACACATCTTAAGAGCAAGCACTAAAGAGGGGTCCCAGGGCCTGGAAGACAAAAGAACAATAGGAGACACACTAGTCATACATTTAGGGCTCCTAGAAACAAAGTTCTTGCTGTCTGATGGTTTCAAGAATGATAAAGATTGTGCTTTGACTCACCGGACCGGGACCAGCACGGGCAGACAGCAAACCTCCGTTCAATGTTGGGAGCACTCGATGAATATCCAAGTAAAGAGCACTTTTCCAACACTTTCAAACGATGGCACAAAAACACCACTGATTTTACCAGCAATGTCAGTCCAAGTGGTGACCAGTCCATGGAAAAATTGAGTGACGGAAAACCGTCGGTACGTCGGCTGGCGCGACGGGAGAAACGTAAACACAGTCCACATCGCTAAAACACTGCACTGCTTCTCAAATACAGGAATAAGTCACGCACCACTCATGGACGCACCACAAATCTTCCATGAATTCGCTGCACAGACCCAATCCGCCACAAGACACACGCGAACACTGGAGAAAGTTTGGTTAGAGTGTCACTTATGTTTCTAGCCTCTACATAAGCCTAAACCACATCAAGGCACATTCGCTCTCGAGCCACAACACACGCGCAACGACCGCACTTAGCAGTAACTCCGCCACGTTTCCGAGATAGTGATGGGGCCATACACCGCGCGAATTAAGGCACCTTTCGCGTATTTTGACACTATCCTAGATCAAAACAAACCGTAATAGCGAACGGACGGCAGCCATGCCTGTTTGGGAACTGAAACAATTGAAGCTCCCAGCAGGCAACGCGGTGGGTAGCGAGCGCGTTTTGGCTACTTTCGCGCCGTTTATACAAACGATGGGTTTGCTATTTTCTTTTCGGAATTTTAATGTTATGATGTTCATGTCAGTCCATTCAGGCAGAACAGTAAAAACATGGAGAGACACCGTGTGTCTATGGTAGGCACAAACAGTGTATCACGGGAATTAATGACGAACTCCTTCGCTCCCTTCCGCTGCCCGCTCATCCCCCATGGTTTCGGCTGGTTTCGGGCTGGGGTCACACAGTGGGCCAGAAGACCGGTGGAGGCAGACAAAACTCTAGACGCGTTTTGAGCTCCAGAGTCGCTAAACAGGACTCGGACCGAACGTGTGGCCCCACCAATGGATTCCTCGTTCGGAGAGCAATCCATTGGTGGGGTCACACACTCGGTTCGAGTCCCATATAGAGACTCTGGAGCTCAAAAAACGTCTAGAGTTTTGTCCGCCTCCACCGGTCTTCTGGCCCACTGTGGGTCGCTGGGGTGGGAAGGGTGGGACGGTCGTCCGGTTCGGAGTGTAGATGCTCGAGGGGTGCGGCCGAGGGGTGAGCCAGAAGCCCGAGGGCGAAGGGGAGGAGGTGGGGGGGGGGGAGGCAGCTATCCGAGGGGAGGGACGGAGGGACGGGCCACCCGACCCTTCCTGTACATTCCTCCGAACCGAATTCACGACATGAAATTTGGAAGTGTAAATCATTGTGTTAGTTGGTTGAAGTATGAGCAATGAGCAATCAATCGGGGCTCGAGTTTCAAAGTTTCAATTCCTATTTTTCCTTGTTGAAAGAGCGGTTTGCCAGTTTGCCAATGTGTCCACTGTCGCCACTGGGAGCACAGAGGACTGACTGTACTTTACTTAATTTGTGTAACTCCTTCATCATGCATCAACACTGGCGGGTGGTTCCTAGAGAACCAGCTGGCCACAAGTCACGCGTATCTGAGTACGCGTTAGTGTCAGGGCCGTTGCCGTTTGGCAAGTCTTTGCCGAGTGGCACTTCCCCGTCTGAGTGGAGCTAAGTGGAGCGAGTGGAGTGGATGCAGGGCTGTGCTGTGGCGCGCGACACTCATGTCCGAAAACGCATTTTTCGACAGGCAAGTTAATGGATACCGCATCCGGTTCTGGCCAATTATCCCACATGATCGGATGATGTAGCAAAAGTAAACTACTTGCCAATGTGTCAAAAAGCAAAAAGTAAACAAATACATAAATACAGAAAACGAACATTGCCAACTGAAATCTGTCGGCATGAAATTCCACTGGTGGCAAGACAAACACGGGTTATTTTGACTTAATTAAGAATTAAATAGCATTTGAAAACGCACGAATTTATCTTGAGGTATCTATCAATTCATTTTAAAATTTATCTCACCTTGTAAGCGAGAAAACAGAGCGCGAAGTCAACTTCATAGTTGTTTTATCTTTTGTATGTTGGTACGGGAAGTGGCAGCTGCGCTGCTTGCTGTGCTTCTGAAGGCTTCGCTTGTTGTTTGTCTTTTGTATCGCGTCGAGGTTAGAAATTATTTCAAGTATTGTTCAAAGTGTCCGTGAAACGCGATTATCGTTCGTCTCAGTTTATGTTGCAAGTACGGACGTGTGAATCCATCCTAGCGTGGCTTGGAAACCTACGTTCAAATGGAAAGAAGTGGATGAATACAACATTGAGATTCGAGTCTCTGTTGGAAGTTTGTTCATTGTATTAACTATCAGGTGTTTGGTCTTGAAATAGATGTAATTCATCCAGAAATTTTTCAAATGATGTGTTTTCATTTCATTTACTCTTGTGTTTTAACTCTGAAATTTCAAGAGAACCCTGCACAAGTACTATTGTTCGGAGTGGTGTTGTGGTTATGGGGCATTGTGTACTAGATGATGCCTTGTAGTTTGTGTTGTACTATCGCGACTATTATATTAAAATGTGACGTAAATACTTGTGTAATTATTTTTTCGCGATGATAGTAAGTACTGACCTTTAAGTCTCTCTTCTAGGTTTTAAGGCATGTGCATGCTAGACGTATGAAGGGCCTGACCGATGGTGAGGTATTCAGAAGGGATGACACCTATTTCTTTGTCTTTTCAACAGATCGTTTACAACCGACATGTCAACCAGCGAAAGCCACCCAGTGGAGAACCTTTGGTCCAGCAAAGTCGCATAGAAAACAGCCTGTTCCAGTATCATCTAATTCAGGTACGAGTGTGAAGCCTGAAACAATAGGAGATTATGGAAAGGAGAGACAGGCAGCTGATGTTTTATCATTCTTGTCCAATGGATCACCTTCTAAAGAGGCTTTTGATCAAAGATATGCTGAAGATTATTGGTCATCTGTAGATAATAATTCTGTAGAACAGGAGACTGATGACCAATTTGATTGGGCTCCAGCACCTGGGAAAAATAAGTCATTTGTTCGATCTCCCTATGAAGGTCCAGGCGCCTTTCCTTGTGACATATGTGGTAAAGTGTATAAATGGCGTCGCACATTACAAAATCACAAAAAACTAGAATGTGGAAAGGAACCTCAATTTAAATGCCCATTTTGTCCTTTGCGCTCTAAGAGGAAAGGTAATTTATCATCTCATATGAAAACTGTTCATGGTACTGATGCGATTATTTAAAACTGTCTCCCCTTAACAGATGTTATGACGTATGCGATTATGTTTTAATTTTGTCAGTTAGTTTATCTAGTCTATTGCCACCTTTCCTTGAGTGTTAATTTACTGATAAGAGTAGTCTTTGTCATTGGAGCTGCCATTTGCTGAGGATACTGTGCCATAATTTGTCATTTCTATTTCCTTTGAAAGCCTTTATATTATGTGAATTGCTATTAGTCTCTTAATTTGATTTTGAACAGTGAGGCTTTCTAGCTATTGTTAATCATGATTCATATTTTCCACTAACATTTCAAGAGGGTATCTCTGGTTCCAGACAAATTTAAAAGTATTCTTAGGGTCTGTGCTATGAACAAATTTCTGTTTCATTGTCTTATCCTAGTAGTCTTGTGTTTGCCCATCCTTTTCTATCATTGGTGCTAAAATGTGTAAATGGTGTGTACAGTATTTATTTGTAATGTGACTTTTGATATTTTTTATGCATGTCCATTGATTCAATTTTACATTTCATCTTTTTCACCAATAAATTGTGTCTTTTTTTTTAACCATTTTTGTTTTCTATTCTCTACATTTATTTCCAAACAAGTGATTCTAAAGCCACCAAACTTACAGTTTTGCAAACTGCAAATTTACTTAAGGTCCACAGGAGTTGTAGCTGAAGGAACCAACTTTTACTGACTTGAACCAAGGTATGACGGTGTCTGGTGGTTTGTGTAGTACTTCCTTTGGTAAGTGGGCTATGATTTCTCTCATCACCGCATTGCCAGGTTGGGAGAGTTCTAACGGGAGCGCTATGTTTGCAGATGCAGTGGTGTCGCACAGGGAAGACTGAACCCTGGGCCGAGCTGCTGTGTTCCGGGCTTGAGGCTCCCGAGCCCCCGCCCACCATCGCCAACCCTGGAACCTGGAACTGGTGTTCGCGCGTCGGTCAGGGCGTCGCGCTCCAGCCAGGGTCCCGAGGGTTTCGGCCGACTCCAGCCTCGCCCGCTTCTCGTGCTCGGTCGGCCCGGAAAGCGACAGGGCTTTCCGGCGCACCGCGAGCGTCGTCCAGGGGCGAGGCTGTAGCGACTGTGGTGGCGGCCGGGCGGGGGCCTGCAGGCCTGCAGGGGCGAGGCACCGTGGGGTGCATGCTGCTGAGCGGACTCTCACCACCACGATGCTAACATGATTTTCCTTTACAGAGCTGTCGCGCTTCTGGCAGAACCAGTTCCTCAAGGAGGCTCGTCGGGGCAGTTCAACCCCTAATGGCGCGGCCTCGCTGCCGCAGCTGCCGCCTCCCCCTCCGCCGCCGATGACGCCCCCCGCCGTGCCTGGCGCCCCCGTCAGGTCCCCACGGCCGCGGTCTGGGTCTCCGCGGTCCCCGCGCTCAGCCGACTGGGACAAGGTGCTGTGGCTGCCCGAGCTGATGCGCCGCCGGTCGCTGGACATGCGTGACGTGAAGGACGGGCCCAAGGACAGTGCCAAGGACCTGTCGCTGCCCAAGGCCGACGAGGACACGGTGGCGGCGGTGGCGCTGGACATGAGTGCCAGCATCCTGATCCAGCACGCCGACAACACGCTCAAGGAGGACGAGGACGACCAAGAACAGATGTTGGACGCGACACCCGGTGAGGGCCCGGGCGCCTTTCCCTGTCCGTCGTGCGGCAAGGTGTACCGCTGGAAGCGCACCCTGCGCAACCACCTGCGCTCCGAGTGCGGCAAGGAGCCGCAGTTCCAGTGCCCCTACTGCCACCTGCGCTCCAAGCGCAAGAGCAACATCTATGCGCACATCCGCGTCGTGCACCACAAGCCGAAGCTTGACCAAGTTTGACCAAGAGACAGGGCCGCCAGCTGCCGCGCCGCGCACGCCAAGAGCCCCGCCAAGAGCCCCGCCAAGAGCCCCGCCAAGAGCCCCGCTAAGAGCCTCGCCAAGACCCCCACTAAGAACCCCAAAGATGCCGGGGGAACCGCAACGCTGGGGCAGATCGCAGGGCCTGCTGGGCTTGGCGTGGGTGCCAGCCCAGGCCGTCCAAACCTCGCCGAGGATGTGGGCGGCGTCGTCACCCTGGCCGAGTTGGCCGCCCTGTTCACCCCTGGCCTCGCCCCCGGCAGTGCACGCAGCGACACGCTGTCACAGACAGGCGCGCGGCACGCTCCACTCTCCGGCGCCGTCGTGAACTCCGGGGCTTGTCTCACTCGTGGGGCGCTGGATAGAGATTTTTGGATGTAAATCTCTCTCTAGTCCTATTGCCCTATAGTGAACAATTTGCGAGAACTGCTCAATTTAAAAACATCCTTTGTGGTCATACATACATTATGATCCCATTGTAGATGACAGATGTGAATTCAACTTGTGGCATCCCCTTGTTGGATCTCATTATTTCTTTCCGTGTGTCGTATATGTGTGTGCATTAGTGTGATATAACATATTTTTATTGGTAAATAGTGCCTTGACTCGCTTGTGAGTGTTGCCAGTGGGTGCCAAAATCTCAGTATGTATTTTCATGATCTCAATCACTGTCATCCATTGCATTGAAGCCCTTACAGTCGAGTCAAGACGGGTGCCCCTTTTAGTTCATAAGCCCATATTTTCGAATTACTTAGAGACATGTGATGGAGTTTGCCCTTCAAGTTTGTCCTGTATAGTGCTGCTATGTATTGTGTATTACCTTTAATTTGGAGAGGAGTCAGAAAGTGATGTTTCAGTGTATGGAAATTTCAGATGGTAATGCATGTGTAAAAGTCGAGTCCTGTTGCATAAATTTATATATTTTTTATTGTAACATTTTTTTTCTTCTATGAAATTTTAATGTTTGCAACCTTTTTTCCTGCAGTTTTCAGTACTCAAAAAGGTGTTGCAATTAAGTCAAAAGATTTTGTTTTTATTTAATTTTTTCTGAAATTGTTGTTATTTTGAAGTGAAATGAACTGAACTGGGGATAACTTGTATATTGAGACTAAAGCATTAAATATTCAGGGGAAAGTGGTCAAACTGTGTGAACTTGGTATGAAAGGTTTGATTGCAATATATTTTGTAATTTTGTCATTGTAGTATTTTCTGTGGTATTTTATCCTCTTGACTGATGGAAGACATGTTGAGACTGGGAAATTTCTCATTGTAGTTTTGCTGACTTTGGTGAGCTTTCTCCTTGAAAGGTTTGTGCCAAAAGCGTGAAATTCGATTGTGCGTATGTGTTGAGTGTTTGAAAAGTGCCATTGACAGAAATTTTATTTCTAAAAGCTTACATGTTCTTCTGATTTTATATGAGGTCTTCTGCTTGCGCTACTTTGTGCAACTACCTACCATTTTGTGTGCAATTTTCTTTGTGTTAGTGTGTTTGTTTCTAAGTATTTAGGTGTAGGGTAGGTCTCAAAATGCATTGCTTACTCTTGCACAAAGGACTGTCTTACATGTGTTTTTTTTTTTTCATTTTTATTTTTTTGCCTTTCTGCGAAAAGGATAGAGTGATAAATATACATATATATATATGTATATACATATATATATATATATAGTATTTTTAATATGTCGCCTCTTGTCTGATACAATTGTAATTTTACATGGGGAACTTGTTATCTTTTTTATTGGAATATCCATTGTCATTTGTATTTTTCAGTGCTGAGTGCATGTTAGCGACCCAGTCATGCTAAAGCTCAATTATTTCTTTTCAGTTGTTGTTTGTTATTTAAAATATGAATGTGTGTTTTTTTTTGTGTGCTATATGTTTTTAATTATTTATATATGATATGAATCTTTTCCTGGGTGTTCCTTACATGCATGAAATTCATTCCAAAGTCTTCAATTATCAAACGCTTTCAGGCGGTTTTAAATACCTTTTGATCACCTTATTTATGTCAAGATGTGAGTTTGTTTTCCTTAGCTTTGACTATGGAACTAGTGTTCCATGTGAAACAATGGCGTCATGATCTCATTACGTCTCCAGAAGAGAGACATTGAACTCTTTTGCTGTGGGAGGCATTCTTGACAATCCTAACCAGTCACTTTTTAATGACTGCCATAGTTACTCAGGTTCTCTAAGTGTCAAGTCTAGTGTTGTGTGTACTTATGTGTTCCACCGAGTGCCATGTGTGTATTTATTTCTGCCATTCGTTTGCCATATTTTACTGAACTTTTTATCAGACTGACCTCTGGCCTTGTGTAGTAGTGTTCTGGAAGCCTGTAAGTTTTGAAATAGTACATAATAAAAATGTGTTTTAAGCAGCGCTCCGCTCCATATGTCATTGCCAATCATGTTAAACCCACTTTGTCTCAGCACGAACGTGCAGCTGTAATGTTAACAACTTTTTTGCACAGACTGTCAAGTGACTTAGTGCAGTGTTTTCATCTGACTGCCTCCCTCTTCCAGGCTCCAGATGGTGGCTGCCCCCGGCCGTGGGCGTGCTGGGCGGGCCGAGCGTGCCGGCCGCAGGGGCCGCAGGGGCCGCAGCAACGTCGGCCGGGGCCGGGGCCGGGACCCGCATGGACTTCCAGTGTGGGGCGTGCGGCCGCGGCTACATGCACAAGAAGACGCTGCTGCGGCACCAGCGGCTGGAGTGCGGCAAGGAGCCGTCGCTGCCATGCCCCTACTGCCCGCACCGCACCAAGTACCGCAGCAGCCTGCTCACGCACGTCCACAACCGCCACGGCGACATGCTGGCCGCCAGCGCCGCCAGCGGCTCGGCGCAAGACCTGTAGCGCGTAGCGCCTTGCCGCCCTTGTTTTGCTTTTAAATAAACAGAAAAAAAATCTATGCGGTTAAGTTGTTGACCCCGTTCTCTCCTTTCCCAGCCACCCTTTGTCTTCGGCCCGTGTCTTCAAGTGTCTCTTCTGTTTGCAGGTGGTTTGGTCGCTCAGGGGGCAGCAGGGGCGGGGGCCTTCCCCTGCGCCGGCTGCGGCAAGGTGTACACCTGGAAGAACAACCTGAACCGCCACGTTCGGTACGAGTGCGGCAAGGCGCCGGCCCTGCGCTGCCCGCACTGTGACTACTGCAGCAAGTACAGCCAGAACCTGAGGCGCCACATGACGCTGATGCACGGGTAGGCCCGCGTAGGGTCGAGTGTGCGGAAAAGGGTTTCTGTCTTTCCAGAACCGGACTGTTTTTGTGAGAAGGACCGCGAGCGGTTTGTTGAATGGACAATTGATTACCTCGTGCGCTGATGTGTTCTGTTCGGCCTGCAGGTACTCTGGCGCACCACATCAGCGAGGACACCAACACCAGCCTTGAGTTTCGTGGCGAGTTCTCGTGCCCGCGCTGCGGCAAGGACTACCGCTGGAAGCGCAACCTGACGCGCCACCTCTCCAAGGAGTGCGGCAAGGAGCCCGCCTTCCAGTGCCACTCGTGCGACTACCGCTCCAAGCACAAGCAGCACATGCTGCGCCACATCGCGAGCAGGCATGCCGAGCAAGACCCCTTGATGTGACAAATAAAGTGGATGTCTTTTTGAAGCGGTGCCTTTCTCTTCCTTCGCCCTGCACCACCGGCCCCCTCTCCCTGCGCACTGCTCGACTGCTATCTCTGACTTTGGACGTTTTCTGTTGCAGGCGAGGGTGCTACGTGGGCGTGGCCCGCCGCCCTTCCCGGCCCCAGCGCGAGCGCGCTGGCCGCGGCCGCAGGCTTGGTGCCTCCCTTGGCGGGGGCGTTGGCCGGGGCGCTGGCCGGGGCCGGAGTTGCCGCGGGCACCAGCCCGCCCAGCCCCTTCACGTGCCCCAACTGCGGCAAGGGCTACACGTACAAGGGCAACCTGAACCGGCACATCCGCGTTGAGTGCGGCAAGGAGCCCCAGCAGACGTGCCCCGTGTGCTTCAAGATGTTCAAGCACAAGAGCAACATGGAGATGCACCTCGAACGAGTGCACAAGCAGCAGCCGTAGCGGCGGTTCTAGCGGCAGCCGAGTGGACGGGGCCCGACCCTCAGTCTAGTGCCTGCCTGCCTGCCTAGCCGGCGGGTCCTTGCGGGCCACACTGTCCCGTTCCTTTCAATGTCGCTCTCTCCTTATTTCGGTCAATAAACGATTCTCGGACTAGCGAAATCTCTCGTTCCTTTCGTCGCCCGCTCGCTCTCGTTCTGTCGGTATTTCTGTTGCATGTGCCTGTCTAACCGATTGTTTTTGTTTGTACGCTCTGCAGCAGGCTGTGCAGCAGGCTGTGCTCCTCCACCGCGAACTCAGGACGGCGGTTACGTCTATCGCGCGCCCCGCGGCATCGGCCCCTACAAGTGCCCCCAGTGCGACAAGAAATACAACTCGCGCGGCAGCGTGTCGCGCCACCTCAACATCGAGTGTGGCAAGAAGGCCGGCGTGCCCTGCCCCTACTGCGACACCATGTTCAAGCACAAGAGCTCCGTAATCACGCACATCGCACGCAAGCACCCTTTCTAGGTGTGCCGTCGTCGCCGTCGTGCAAGTGGGAACCAGAGTCCCAGACCAAGGACACTAGTGGAACCTACTTGTACTACAGCTGAATTACTTCAAGTGGCTATAGTTTTGTGTGCTCATTGCCTAACTCAGTAAATCCTTATAGTAAATCTAGGGTCTTGTTGTGCTTTATTGGCGACATATATATACATATATATTTTTTCTTTGGTACTTTGTTAAGTTTGCAGTGCCTGATTGGAGACATAATTTTCGGATATTTTACATTAGAAAGACAACTGTATGTACCTTCTTGTACAAATTTAGATTTGCAAAATTGTTCTAACCATGTTGCAGTTATCAAATAAACTTAAATTTTCTTGAAACTTGGGTTGATTGCAGTCAATTTCTTGTGACCTTGACATTTATTTTGACGCCCCATTGCTTGAGTTTGTTTGCCTGAACTAACGCCTCTCCCTTTTGTTCCGCAGGGTACGCCTCCAACGGCCGCATAGCGTGCCAGCTGTGCGACAAGACGTTCAAGTGGAACTTCCACCTCCTGGCGCACACGCGCGAAGTTCACTGCCCGGTGCAGCCGTTCAAGTGCTCCCTCTGCCCGTACACGACCAAGCGCTCGCGCAACATGCCTCGCCACATGGAGACCAAGCACGGCGAGCAGCCGGAGAGCGGCCGAGCACGCGGACGACGCCGAGGGTCGCGCGGGGCCGACGTGCCAGCCGTGCCCCCGGAGCTGCTGCTCACCACCACCCTCGTCGAGATGAGCCAGTGAACGTGCGGTGCGCCACGCCCCCTGCCACGCCCCCCGGCCCAGAGTCTAACCGGAGTGGCGTGCTGTGCTTGCAGGACTGGAGGGGCTCGCCGGGCTCGCCGCTCTGCCCGCCGCCATGAGGGCCGCGTCGTGGACGGGGTCCGGGACGGGGTCCGGGACGGGGTCCGGGCGCATGCCGGGACGCTACCCATGCCCCCAGTGCGGCAGGGTGTACCGCTGGAAGTGGAACATGATGGCGCACCTCCGCGAAGACTGCGGCCACAACCCCCAGTACCAGTGCACGCACTGCTCCTACGCGTCGAAGCGGCAGCGCAACCTCGCGCTGCACATGCGCCGCGTGCACAGGAAGACTAAGTTCTTTTCCGCGCAGCCCTCGGCGCGAAACTGAGCGACAGTGCCTTTTTAATCTTGTTAATGACTTATGGTGCCTTTCCCACGAGTGTTTATTAACCATATCCTTTATTGTAAATTCGCGAAATAAATTTTTCTCCGTGCACTTATGGTCTGGTCCTTTCCGAGGTTGTAGCGGTGTGCCCGAGTCGTAGTCCTAGCTAGTGTTTTGCCTTGGTGTCGGTAGAAACGAAGTATGCCCTTGACCGCGTGCTAACTCCGTGCTTTTCTGCTTGTGTTGTCAGTGCTGGACGAGATCGGCGGGTCGCAGAGCATGCGCGCCGTGTATCGCTGCCGCCAGTGCGGCAAGACGTACTGCTGGAAGAAGACGCTGCAGCGCCACATGAAGCTGACGTGCGGCGGCAAGGAGCCGCAGTTCCCCTGCCCTGTGTGCCACTACCGCTTCAAGTACAAGAGCCACCGCCTGCGCCACATGACGAAGCTGCACCAGGTGACGCACGAGGAGGCGCAGGCCGTCATCGACAACATGAAGCCCGAGGACGACCTGGATGACATCGACGGCGACGTGGAGGGCGTCGAGGTGGACGTGGACATTGACGAGCTGATGATGGGCATGGTGTCGCCGGGGTCGCCCGACTCGCCCCGCCCGCCCTCCTCTAGGACTCATGCGCGCCGCACCTCCCGCACCTCCGCCGCCTCCGCCGCCGACGAGGGCTGACTAGGGCTGCCTCGTGGCCAGGGGAAGGGGGTTTGGATTGGTGTTTGAGGTGGTCTTAGGTTTGCGGGTCGTGCAGGGCTTAGCCACTCCTTTCTGCTGGGCAGTCCTACTGGAGAGTCTGATCCAGTCTATCAAGCTGCTGGATGGCTCGATACTTTTCTTAATTTAGTCCATATTGTAGTCTAAAGAAGTCACTTGTAATACTTTTAATTTACTGTACCTGTTACATTTAATGGCGATTAATTTATTCGTGAATTAATTGTGTCGTGCCGTCAGTAACATCACATTTTACTTTATTTGATTTTTTAACATTTTTAGTGAAATAATACTAGGGAGTGCTGTACCTGACAAGTGCTGAAGTGTCCTTGCTTTTTGTTGTGAATCTTTTGCTCTCTATGCTAGTGTTATTGCTAACTTAATGTATTTTTTCGCGAATATTTCGCTTAACATTGTCGCATTTTATGTGCAACCACAGTTATTTGTGACCCTATTGATATATTTTTGTGCAGAAATTTACTTTTTACATGGGTACGTTTGTATGGTTGTTTACGAGCTAAACTAAATGGCCGATGCGTGGTCTTCGCAAGCAGGGATGCTTGTTTATATTTTTAATACAATGTTGTCCATTGAATGACTGTTTTCGTGGTTCTTTTTTTTTTTCACTTTGCAAGACCCCGGCTTTGCCCACCTCCCTGCCCAACACAACCTGAAACACCACCACACGATAGCGGTTGTCTGCCACTCTGCCTTGGGTTCGCAACCCGTCCAAGTCGTCCTTGCCGCTGTTTGTCTTCTGTTCACAGGGCGTGCCAGTAGAGCCTGCAGCAGCGCGACATTTCTCACGCTGCTTGCGGTCCGCCTCGGTTCGTCCCGCGGTGCTGGCGGGTCCTTCTGCTGTGCCACGAAGCCGCGAAGCCGCCAAGCACGCCGTGGCTCTGCGCGGCAGGAGTTTCCGCCAGCCACAGTCAGGAGCTGGTCTAGGACTTGTCCGTGAAAGAGGCTGACGAATTTTTTCCCCCGCAGATGTGGGGTTTGCCCGTGTGCTGGGGCGCGCGCGCCGCACGCGTCGGGACCGGGAGCGACCGTTTCGCTGCGCGCAGTGCAACGCCAGCTTCACGCAGAAGCACCACCTCAAGCGGCACATGGCGGGCCACGGCGTGCGCAGGCCCTACCAGTGTTCACAGTGCACGGCCAGCTTCGCCATCCGCGACAACCTGAGCCGGCACCTCCAGACGCACAGCGCGCAGCGGCCCTTCCGATGCGAGACCTGCGGCAGCGGCTTCCGTCGCAAGGAGCACCTGCTGACGCACCGCCGCACGCACGAGGGCCCCCTGCCCTGGACGTGCGGCGTGTGCGCCGCCAGCTTCAAGCACCTGTACCTGCTGCAGGCGCACCAGGCCTCGCGACACCCCGCCGGGCCGGGCGGGCAGGGCCTCCCTGAACAGGTCGCCGCGGACGACCCCTTCAAGTGCCCACACTGTGACGCCACGTTCCGCACGCCCCACACGCTCGGTCGCCACGTCCGCACGCACGGCCCGCAGGTGTAGGCGCGAGCCTGCGCGAGCCTGCGCGAGCCTGCGCGAGCGCGGACGGACCTAGTCCCCGTCCTCGCCCAGGGATCTCCTGGGATTAGTTGACCTGCAGTCAAGCTAATGGCAGCAAGCGCGATGGCTTTCAAGGGCGGACTGGCTCATGGGCTGGCCTAGTGCCCTGACAGCCGCAGCTCGCGGCCAGGTGAGACCAGCCCGCCTTTCTCCGCTGTGCTCAAGAGAGGCGTGCAGGATGGCTCTGTGATTTCTAGTTAAATTAAATACGTTCCTAGTAGCGTGCTGGTGCAGCTCCCTGATCTCCATTTTTAATTATTATGAACGTGTGTATTCGTTGCACCTGCTCTCCATTGAGGAGGGATAAGCTTACCAATTACGAATTTTTACGTCTTTATTTTCATGTGTTTGTTTTAGCTGATGTGTGTAACCCGTTTTATTATGTTTTTGTTTATGTACTCCGTTTTAAATTCGTTTGTTAAAACTGTGAGTAGAAAAACTGTAGCCACTATGGCGAACTATTTTAACTTTTAAATTGTTTGCTCTGTCTTTTTTTATTGAATAAGTAGCAGTGTTGAAGATCTCATAGTCTAAATCGGGGAAATTTTAGACAAGCTTGCCCAATCATTCGAGGTCGTGAACATTTTGTTTAGGTGTTGTCGTGTTTCCATACGAGTGTTTTCTTGGTA